CGATTGTATTGAATCTTAATTGGCTGTAGAGTACTCGGGAGTCTCGAAACTGCAATTGTCTATCGCTTACGGAGTTTTGTTTGCAGAAGGAAACCGGTCTGGTCGACCGAAGATAATAATGTTTCGTGAATTGACACTGATCCGTTGAATCTCGTCGCGAGATTGGCAGAAGCGAATTGCGTGTATATTTTCGAAAATATTCTTACACTTAAAACGCATGTTTCGTAAACGCTTTAATTATTTGTTATATAAAAATTGCGGTTTCAACGATCCCTCTTGAATGAGTTTTGATACGTATACTTAACATTGGATCTATTAATTGTTATAAAATTACAAGTGATAACTATTTGTCTAAGAAATATCGTAAAATCACATACTATGACGATTGTAAATTATATAGTTTGCCATAAAATATCACATTTATTTCGATAGGTTTTATATAGTATTGTCATACAATAGAGAAATTTTGTTTGTTATTCTCGAAAATGTAATTGTTTCTTTGACTTTACAATTTCTCGATAAAAATTATTGTTGGCGGTCCATTCACGTGTGTATAAAACAAATGCGAAAACAATAGCGCGATAAAGAGCGCGCTTCGAAAAATTTTTGCCTAATTGATAATCGCTCTGTCTCTCAGGCGCGAACATCATTCTATCTTACGAATTGATAAAGAAAGTTACTAGGAAAAGACGACGTATCCGTAGATGGTACGCGCAGAGTTTTTCAGTTAGGAGGAAAGCAGGGAAGAAATCATTTGACGGAGAAAATGAAAATAAGAGACCAGATGTGTCCCGGGCAAAAACTCGCCTCTGACTGTCACATCATCTTCTTTCTTCCCGTTCTTCTCTTTTTCTTCAAGCTCGATACTTCTCGTCTCAAATCGTCTATAGTCTTATATTGAATCCTTCTGTATGCAGATTTTAACCCGCAATGATTCTCAATTGCATAAAGACAATTATCGCATAAATCATTTTGAGTCTTCTTCACACGTGGAATGGATAATTTGCGAGCTGTAGATAATTTATTATATTAGATAGAAATATATTATTGTAATTAAGACTTGATGTCATTCTTTAATGGCAAATTTAATCGCATCGTTTCTATTTCATTCTTATCTAATTTCTCATTATAATTAGTTATTGCGTATCTCCGTAGAATTGCATTTAAGATTAAAAGCTCGGTCGATTATTAAATTGCGCCTCTCAAAGTTCACATATCTCGCGTGAAAGATCTCCGCGATTTTCGTATTCCAACGATATTATTAGCCAAATCTCGCGCAGTCTTCTCATGACCTTGTAACACTCTAACGAAGATATCACCAGTTCTCGCGTAAGCGCGCAAGTTTTGCTTAACGATGAAAGTACTAAACTCGTAGTACGCGAGCCGATAGGGTCTCGATTAATTGTTCTTAAGGAAAATTTCACGGGCGATAACCAGGATGTCAATCTGAGTTCGCTGAATAAGATGAGATAACTAATAATACTGATAAGAACGTGAGAGGCGGAAAGTGCAACCCGGGGATTTTTAAGGATGATTTTGTAAGACGGAAACACGATCGTACTGTTGATAACGATGGGACGAGGATGGTTTATCTTCTTTCCGCTCTCGGAGGTGAGGTGGTCTGCGGATCAGCCTAGACGCGCCTAAAACTTACATCAAGGTAATGAAAGCTTCTCTCTCTCTCTCTCTCTCCTTCTTACTCCATCTTTTAGACGTCTATGTTCCGTTCCGGATATCCGCTTGATCCTTTGCTACTTTTATTTGTTGGCTCTCAAACTTTAGACGCACGTTTCTCTTCGCTTGTTTATTAAGAAAATTTTCCACGAATATCCGGAAGCGTGTGATGAGGATATGTAATGAAAAATACAATGCGTTTGACCTACTAATCTCTAATTAAATTTTTATATTTATACATTCTTTATTTATATATATACATTCGTATATATTTATAGTTTGGTATTTATACATTTTATTTCATATTTGCTTAAAAATCTCTTATTCGTGGAATTGATTGTACACAAAGTAATTGCAGAATTATGTTTTTTAAGATATATAGTTCTTTAAATAAAAAAATAAATTTTTTGATAAAATTTCTAAAATAAAATATGTAGAGATACAGAAAGAAACGTGTATTAAGAATATAGGAATGCTTTTTAACAAAAGATGCAATTGTATTTTGCAATTGTATGTATGTACATAAGTGAAATATTAATGCTATAAAAAGATAGACTTTTGTAATATCATTTTATTTTGTGTTATAACTTCTTTTTATATTTACGTTACTGATCCAGAAAAATAAAATCTGTTCTAGTTCCGTGAGATATCTTGTATATTATTTGTGAGGAAAAATAGTGTTTGCAAGATCCGATATCAAACATAAAATCTTTCTACAAGATATATCGCGTGCAACTATGCTTTGGCATATACGATTTATTTTCTAATGATTGAGACCAAATACGAATGTATCATGCATCGGATGTATTATGCACCGGAAAATTATAGTCAAAGTGACGAAGTATCGGTACATGCAGGTGGATTGAAGATAATGTCAATAAAGGCAAAATATAATCACGAGCTGACTGTAATTGCCATGTTTAATCTAAAATTTTCATGGAAATTATATGCGATCGAACTGGCCAGTTTCTGTCGTAATTGATATAATTTTGTAAAAGAGGATGTATTAATATGACTCTCAAATAGCTGCTTTTACCTATAGGAAAAAGCGCGTTGTATCAACCAGAAAATAAAATTTATGTGTCTATTTTTAAATCGTGTAACATATTGAATAATTTATTTTGAGATTCTTTCATTATCAGTGCTTATTGTTAAAAATTAAGCGTACGATGAGTCCCACACACACATTTCGCAAATAAAAAGTAGTATATAACATAATTAGATGCTATATATATATACTATATAATTAAAATATTGATATTAACGTGAATATTATTGTAAATTCATTATACGATTCAGCTTGATACCACCGTCTATTCGATTAATACAAAAATTCAAATTTTTTAAACGCACTTTTCTCTCATTACATGGCAACGTTACCACCGAATCCAATCTTGCGTCTAGATTAAAATTACATTAAAATTGGTAAAATTTGAATTTAAATTACTTCTTTCGGATATGTTCTATACGCTCCAAATGGATTTTTATTCGAGACACATACACGTGTCCGTATAGATACAGCAGCGTGAGTCCGAAGAATAAAAATTCACCGATTTTATTAGTTCACAACGTTCTTGCGTGCAATTTTATATTTCAAATTAATTATTCTTTATTAGCTCACTTTATCTTACCTTTTGGGCCACAACATAAAAACGATGTAACTGATAACTAATAATATTTTTTATATAATTATTTTATCAAAGGATATTTTTGCTCCTTTGAAACATAATTTTCTGCATTAATGATTGAGTTCCTCGCAGATATTTTCTTCCCCGAGATATATTATTTGTTCGCGGAATATGTATCGCGTCTGGGCATTTTCGAGTGACGTGAAATCACGAAATCTGGAAGAGTATGTCCAAACTCATTCCGGTAGTTTTACGCTCTATTTCGTGTGAGCAAACTCACCGGCGATTTTTCACGAAAATTAAATGTCACGCGAAATGAGTGCACGGCACGTCTCCGACTTGCTTCTTGATAAAGAATGGGTGATATTATTCTAATGGCGCCGCGGCCGCATCCTACATGATTCTACCATCAACCGTACTCATCAGTCTTGTATATCGTATGTTTCGTTCCGCGATGTTGCTCTTCGGTAAAACGTGGACTGTATGTTTCTATTATACCGTGTTTTTGCGCGCTACGGTTGTTATTCAATAAAAGGAATTTGATATGTCAGGCTATACATTTCGCACAAACTTTTCCCGCGACAGTCGCGTATTTAAAAATTACGAATTCAGCAAAAAGAAAGAAAGGGAAACGATGTGCAATGCGATGTAAAGTATATTTGACGTTTTTTGAGATATTTATATTTCCTCGATGATTATGCATTTACTTAATTCATGAAAATTGTTTTAAATCAATTATCGTTCGTTTGCACATGTACGACTAAATTGAAATTTTTTTCATACATCATGAATAATTAATAATATTTATTACATTATTTTTGCGACATCAATAAAATGATATACGTACGTCTATAAAATATTTTGAATATAAAATATGTGTGTGTGTGTGCGATGAGATAACTATTTTTAATGATAACATATATGCGCGCTACATTCATGATTTTTATATCATGATCGCGCTTTTTCATAGAACATTTATTTATGCATTAACGCGTACGTTCTATAATAAGGTAACGCACCAATATTTCACGAGCGCTATTTTCAATTTTATCTGACTCACGATTGGCAAAATGATTTTGATCATGAATGTTATATTTATTTATGGCAAACGCGCGTAGAGAGAGAAAGCGTAAATTATAATTCCATTACAAGCAATAACATATAAAAATGTAATAAAATTGCTAGCTTGCAACGTGGAAATAAAATTTTATTTTTACAAAGTTTATGAAGCGAAAAAAATAAACTAACACTATTAAGGAGATCGACACTTCGATAAGATACAAATATCGCAAAACTTGGATATTTGCATTATTGCTTGACGTGCATTACTCTACGTGGACTTTTTTTTATTTTTTTTTTTTTTTTAGTGTTAAGTCGCGGATGTCGCGTGTACAATAATTGCAAAGAGAGACAGGTCGTCTCGAATAAGGAGACAATGCGTGGCGCCGGGAGAATGTGGCGCGCGAGAGGGTAAAGGAGAATAGACAGATAGCTCGCGCGAGGGGGTGAACTACCCCCCTGGACTAAGAAAAGTCGAAAATCTTAATTCGGGAGTGGTGCCGCCCCCGCGATGCGATGGGCGGTGACTCGCGTGCGCCGATTGGCCTGATTCGGGGAAAGGGTGAGATGCCCTTGTATACGGGGGTGGCTGAGATCTGCGCCGTGATGCTGGAACGGCGCGGCGTGTATGCCACCACTGTGGTCTCCCTCTACGAACTACGAACACGCTAGTCGACGCCGGGCGTCCCAAGCGCGCACTTGTCGGGAGCAGTCGTCGTTTCGTATTCCAAGCCGAAAACAACTCTGACATAAGGCTTGTCGCGGTGTATCACGCGCGTCATCCGACAAACGGGGACCTTCAGCGAACATCTCTCTGAACGAAGAGACAAAGTTTTTACGAGCTTCGATGATAGACGCTCGCTTGCGTGGCACGTGAAAAGTGAACATTTTTTCGCGACGTTTGGGACACGGCGATTTAGGATGCATTGGACGGACATCATTTTTTATAAAATTTTGACATAAGCTCTGCGTGAATGAGACATTACGCCGGAAATTGTTCGCAGGCAGCGAATAGTGTTGTAACTCTCGTTCCTGTCGGAGTCGCGAAGAAGAGTGTTTTTGGAGTAGTTGCGAATGAGTCGAGAAACTTTATTGGGGTGAACCGATAGAATGCGAATGCGGATCTTATATTCGTGACATCGGATTTGTTAATCGGATATCGGTGATGCAGCTACATGCTGGAAGGAGGAAGGGGATGACCGTTAATTTTCTATCGAGGATGGTGGCGGTCTTCGTTTTCGCTTGTCTTCTACTGCAGAATGGTCGATCAACATTCGCAGCATATACCACTGGTAACGTTCAATTTCTTTAATTCGGATATTATCTTTCGAGAAGAAAACGTAACTAACCGCCAATTTATAATTTATCGAATTATCATTTATAATTATTCGTTGCTACATGCGTTCCACGTAATAATTGAAAAAAAAAAAACGTTTTATGAAAAGTAATGGCAATATAGTTTCTGAAAATCTCATAAAGCATTAAAAAATTATATAAATATATATTATCATTATTTATATATATTTATACAAAGATGCAGCCTGAGGAATTGGAGAGATTTTTAGAAAAAAACATAATTGTAACAACTTTAATAAAACGAGTTTGCTAGAATTGTTAGGAAATTAATTAATTTTTATTTAACAAAAATAAAATATTTTACCTCTCGCGCAATTTGCTTCTTGACAAAATATCAAGAATTAAATTAATAATAAAATCTCTTATTAATTAAAAAATAATAAGAAAAATATTGCTTAAAATAATATCTATATGCGTTTCCCTCTATCGGTATATCGGAAATTAGCATTTTTGATACAGCTTATAATAAAAGTGAGATAGATAGATGAGATGAAAGATTGATATATAATTAATAATTATTTATAATTGCCTTCTGGCATATATATGTCATATTATCCTTTGTTTTATAGAGAATAATGCTTTGATTCTACCATTAGTATTATATACAGTCGATCAGCATATATATATATGTATATTGCACACACAAGCGTGTGACAATCTAAATATAGACTATCCACCATATATCCCGCTGATGTCTCCCATGTTTGTTTGCATGGTGACTTAAACGCATACTATCCAATCTGTACATAATCTCGGATTTAATTTTGATCACGTTAAATCTGATGCTGACAATGGTATCGACATGTTATAGCAATGCTACATTACATGTGATGAATTATCTAATTTACGTTGAGTGATCGATGTGAGCAAAATATGCCTTTAAAGATTGATTTTTGACGAAATTATATATATACTTTCTAATATTTAAAATCTTCTATAATAAAATATATCGAAAAGACATAGGAGAAACTCTTCATGTAACATAATGTTTCATTTAATATATATAGTATATTTAATAGTATTAATTTAAAACGTTCTTGCTCTACTATTTTCTTTTAAATATAATTTGTTACAAATTTTTCTCTGAAAACTTAATATAATAAACTATAAAAAAATTTTAACAACGTAATTTTTTATAAAGTTTATCCGTAAATCGATATAAAATCATCTATTACGTTATTAAATCGACGAAAGAAAGTCCATTTTAAAATATATTACGCATAATACGTAATAATATAACAATATAGAAAACATATCATATATATTCATATACACACATAACGTGGCATAAAGTTAATATATACGCATTATGCACTCGTCTTCTCTTTGAGCAATTGAGATGATGATCGTCGCGCGTTTCGAATGACACGTCTTTTCGTTCTCTCCCTCGTAAGCGCTATCACGAAAAAGCTGCTCGAGGGGTTCTAATACCGAGCTTGCTGAAATTACGCTTCAATGGCGAAATTGCGCTAGGAATGAGCTACGTCCTCAGCGCGCGTACACCACATGCATAATTCATAAGCGGGGCGTCACGACGAAACCTCGGGCGATAAATATTTTTTGAGGACGGAAGGATGTAAAAGTGCATGCAAATGAATCTCTCACTGTAATGCAGTGGCTACTACTTACACGGGTATTAAGCTCTCGGCGCCCCGGCACACTTTTCTTTCCGCGCGCACCCCGTCTTTTACTCCTCCCCCCGCCCCTCTACCCTATGCGCTCCATTATTTTGCGTATACCGCAATTAAACGGCGGGAACGAATAAAATTTTCGGAAGTGGCGGCGTACGAAAGCAGATGCAAATTAATGCGTCTCTCTCTCTCTCTTTCTCCCTTTCTCTCCGTGCCGGTGTCGTTTACATCACGCTACGCGCCTCACCGTAGCGTGCACGAAAGCACGTTTTTTTTCTCTTACGTTCCGCTTTTCTATACGAGCATTTATGTCAGAAATATATTATCGTGTGTAACTACATACACTAACATTACACAAAATATATCATGTAATTTCAGGTACACGAACGTTATATTTTGAATGTTGCGCGTTAGATATCTTTATCTTATTTACGTCTCATTAGAAACTATAAATTGTACTACATTTAACTAGAAACTCTTTGCATTTAACAGAATATCAATAGCGACCAAGTTTTTTGAAGCATGATGATTTATATAAATCTTTATATATATATATATATATCATATATTTTTTTTTTAAGCTAAAGTTTCTCGCTATCAGATGTGTATGCATTTTAGGATCTTTTTTAGAAAAAATTGTACAATCAGTCCCGTATCATTATACAAAATAATATACATACATTAAGCTGTATTATGAATAACGCGGTGATTTTCAAATCCAATTGTCTTTACGAATCTACGAGCCACACAGATTGTCGGCCCTGAAACCGGGACGTTGAGTGGCCATTATCGTCCATGGCTGGTGGCCGCGGCGGATGCGAATTTTATACAGTGGTCATTCAATTCTCGTGTTACTGCCTGTGAGCGTAATCTCTTAGGTAGCCGTGCACCACGCGCGTCGGATAGAGACAGATAGACAGGATCGCACGATCGAGAATATGGAGGGTCCCCTCATTGTCCTCGTATCTGATCGCAGCGAACGACTAATAAAACCACTTTAGTCGCTTACTGCCGATTGCCTCGCCGTCGTTACGTTTAATGCGTAATACACTCGGTGTACGAGCTCTGATATCCACTTGGCCGTCGCTTATCTAATTTCGATGAATTATCGAAGAAATTTTGGTAACGATCGAATCGAATATCGCGTATTGGCCTTTTTCGCACGCGTTTCCGTTTGTAGAATCGTTTATCGTCGCTGCGCGCTCCTCTATTTCTGGCAGACATTTGTCTTTCCTCTCCCCCTTCTCCATCCCTTCGCTCTTTCCATTTTCTCTCCTCCTTTATTCTTTCTCTGTCTCCTCTTTTCTGTATCCGAGGGGCTACGCCAGTTTCCCAACTGTTCCCCGCGAAATTATCTCGTAGCCTAAGGGTTGCCATCTGTTTCGATGGGGGAAGCCACCCCTAATTATGTACGGCGACAGTTGTAAGAGCGCTAAATCTAATATCTAATGTCCGCACAAGGTATATGCGCTATACGTGTCGAAAATACGAACAATTTCCATACATTTCGACCAATTGTTCGACCTCGTAAGAGAGCTCATCCCTTCGTACAGCGTAGATAATTGCGGTTATAGTAAATAGTATGGTAAACGAAGAAAGAAAAAAAAAACTACCTCTCGTTTCTTTCGGTTTGAATCGTTTCGAGATTCGATACGTTTATATTTAACACGTGTTTTAACGCGTAACATGTTCGCGATGTAGCTATATTTTATAATGAATTATTAACGCACGTGTGCACGGTAACGCAATCGTATTCAAATTGAAATTCTGTTCAAGTCCACTTGAAATTGAAGAAGAATAAAGTCTTGCTATCGATTTGCAATTTATCTCTCTCTCTCTTTCTCCCTTTCTCTCCGTGCCGGTGTCGTTTACATCACGCTACGCGCCTCACCGTAGCGTGCACGAAAGCACGTTTTTTTTCTCTTACGTTCCGCTTTTCTATACGAGCATTTATGTCAGAAATATATTATCGTGTGTAACTACATACACTAACATTACACAAAATATATCATGTAATTTCAGGTACACGAACGTTATATTTTGAATGTTGCGCGTTAGATATCTTTATCTTATTTACGTCTCATTAGAAACTATAAATTGTACTACATTTAACTAGAAACTCTTTGCATTTAACAGAATATCAATAGCGACCAAGTTTTTTGAAGCATGATGATTTATATAAATCTTTATATAGGTAAACGAAGAAAGAAAAAAAAAACTACCTCTCGTTTCTTTCGGTTTGAATCGTTTCGAGATTCGATACGTTTATATTTAACACGTGTTTTAACGCGTAACATGTTCGCGATGTAGCTATATTTTATAATGAATTATTAACGCACGTGTGCACGGTAACGCAATCGTATTCAAATTGAAATTCTGTTCAAGTCCACTTGAAATTGAAGAAGAATAAAGTCTTGCTATCGATTTGCAATTTACCTTTTAAAGCTTATTATTTCACAAAAATGGGAAGATCCTCAGTCGCTTAAAATTTAGAAACTATAGGCATGTTTCGACATTTGTGTTGAGACCAAATTTAAATCATAAAAGGAGACGCAGAAAACCTTTGCAAGTGCTGTAACACTTTAATGGTAATGCGCAATTCAGGGAATATTTTTCATCTTTATGCCGTCTTTTTATTGTTATTTATATTTTATCGTTACGATATTGTGCGATATATATGCACAAGATGCACGCGCACGTGCGTCGCGTACGCGCGATCGTATGCCATCTGCCTTTAAATGGGTGAGTGGGAGTTGCTTCTGAACATGCACATGCTCGTGTACACTTATAAACAGAGGGAGAGAGAGAGAGAGAGAGAAAGAGAGAGAGAGAGAGAGAGAGAGAGAGACAGAGAGATCTTCATGTTCTGCGCACCCCTGGGATTCTCGCTTCATGCATTTTATATTTCGGCAGACTTTGATTCCTAGACGGGCCACGTGGCTCACGGGAGTAATCCTTAATCTTTGATCGGAAATTATCTTTGATCATGGTTCAGTCATTGGACGTTCTTTCTCGACCCTCTTCTTATTTTCCTGCATCCCTTGGGTAGGTATCTATTCGCGTATGGCGGATACGTCGGCGCTTTTGCGTGAGCGAGAGGGAAGACTTGCGAGAGAAGAAACAGAGGGCAAAAGAAGCAGGGACTCATCGTGTAATTTATATTCTTGGTATATAAATGGGATTTAAAAAAATTTTTTTTTTTTAGTCACATATTGGGACATAAGCTTTCTTCATTCTTTTTTAAGACATATATATTTGAAAATCTTTCTGGCAGTCAATATAAAAAAAATGTGTGATTTTTGCAG